CTCTCTCTCTCTCTCTCTCTCTCTCTCTCTCTCTCTCTCTCTCTCTCTCTCTCTCTCACACACACACACACACACACACACACACACACACATTCGATTTTGCTCATTCTATCAATGGGAGTAGCGTGAGGCCAGCCGTGGGGTTGGAGACTTTCCTATTGGCCGGTGCGTTGCTCACCCTGTCAATGGAAAAATAATCCATATTCTCTCTCTCACACACACGCACACAAAAAAAAAAAGAAGGAAAAAAAAGAAAAAAAAAAGAAGTAAAAATGAAGTGTGGCAGTGTATATTTCCATGTTCTGGCTGAAGATTCATTCCGATTTTGCTCATCCTACACACACCCACACACAGAGACCGACATTTCCAGGCTTCACCAAATGAGCAAAATGGGATTGAATCTTCCCCTAGAACATGGAAGTATCGTATCCACTGCCACAATATGGAAATATACACTGCCAAAGACCGAAAATGTGGCAGTGTATATTTCCATCTCTCTCTCTCTCTCTCTCTCTCTCTCTCTCTCTCTCTCTCTCTCTCTCCCTCTCCCTCTCCCTCTCTCGCGCTTGCTCGCTCGCTCGCTCGATGACATATGCATGACAGCTCCTTGGTGTATACTCGCACCGGGATTTCTTTTCAATGTGTCTGTCCGTCGCGGTGTATCTTTCTATGTTCTTGCGGAAGATTCCTTCTCATTTTGCACATTGGCAGGGTGTTCAGTTGATGCACACTTGAAACTGCTGAAATAGTTCTGATTTACAAATGATCCGACAGTGTGCTGATGCCTTGGCCGGTGCCCCCCACCGAATGCTGCGCGTCCCTCATGTTCTAAAAGAAACAACCTCAATGTCGACCGGGCCAGATAATGGCCGTTCCTGGGGTGGGCCTGGAGCGAAGAGGATGCGTGAGAGGGAGGAGGTTGCACAAGGAGGAGGAGGAGGTCACACAAGGAGGGGGAGGAGGGTTCCCACGAGGAGTGGGAGCTCGGAAGAGGGGGAGGCGGTCACACAAGGGGGAGGAGGAGGTCAGAAGACGATGTGCGAGGGGGGAGTGTCACGTGGAAGTCAGAAGAGGTGGGAGGAGGTCGTGCGAGGGGGAGGGGGAGGTCGGTCAAGGAGGAGGAGCTGGAGGAGGCCGGAAGAGAGGTGGCAGAAGCTCGCTCAAGGGGGAAGAGGAGGTTCGAAGACGATGTGCGAGGGGGAAGTGCAGGTCGTGCAAGGACAGGGAGGCGGTCATGCGAGGGGGAGGACGAGGATGTCGCACAAGGGGGAGGAGGAGGTCTTGGGAGGGGCAGGAGTTGCACAAGGGGGAGGAGGAGGTCTTGGGAGGGGCAGGAGCAGGTTGCACGATGGGGAGGAGAGCTTGCAGGAGGTGCGGGAGGGGGAGGGGAGGAGGGGGCCGCGAGGGAAGACGGGGAGGTCGCAAGGTCGCACAAAGGGGAGGAGGTGTGTGTGCGCGCATGAGAGAGAGATCATTGCCAACCGTACAGTCATTACTGCTGACTGCAAACGTTGGGCTGACTTTCCACATCTTGTCTTGTTGCATAAGCCCATAAAGAGGGTTTAGGAGGGCGGGAGATAGCAAGCAGGGGAATTGACACTGTCATATAATCTATCTTAGAAGGGTTGGGGACGTAGCAAGCATAGGAAATTACACTGTCGTATAATCCATCTTGGCATGATCACCTTTTCACCTTGGGGGCCTTTGCTCCACCACACTGGTGAACACATGCACAAGGGACGAGAAGTACCGTACCGCATCTTTAAATGTTCTAACGGAAGATTCATTTCCATTTTGCACATTGGGTGACTGGTAACTCCCATGCTGTACTCCACAGGTCCTTCTCCTGTGACCTACCAACCTTCAGTCTCCGCTACAACATCCAAGTCAATGTCAATGCTACCGTCTTCACCGGAATGGAACGGAACGCCCTGTCGTTATCACCGTATCGAGATGGAAAGCTGCCCTAAATACAGGTATAATGACAGGGTGTTCTGTTTGGGTGGAAGACGGTGGTCCAGAAGTTGCCACAACCGATGACACTCGCCTGTTGTTGGCTGCTATAAGGCTTGCCAGATATTTCTCAGCTTCTTGGGGTAGACCTTTATTCTAGCTTGCACAGGCTGTCCCCAGCAATCTCTAGCTTGCACAGGCTGTCCCAAGCAATCACCTGTGAAGGTTGGGCACCCACCACACCCGAAAGCTGCTGCTCTGCTTAGTGTACGTGTTGCTACCCTGGCAGCCAGCGTAAACCCCACCAGTACATGGCCCCAAGCGACTTTGGAACAAGGATCGGCTCAGTCCTGAAAGCTCGAAGCCTTGGGCCAACCAGACCAACATGGCTGGCGGTGGCAGCCAAAACGAAAACCAAAAATGCTGTGGTGGCGATTTTACAAAGCTTGGCATGCAGGGGAAATCGGCCTTGTACAAAAGAGGCTTGATTGTACTGTTGGCTTATCTCACAATCGCTGTTTGAGCTTGGTGTCCTGGTGTCCTGCTTTTCAACATGGCTCAACAATTGTAGGACTCAGCAATACTCGTCTGGTAACTACTGTGGTTGGCTGGCCTGTACTTCTTAACTGTCTGTTGGCCATTTTTTCAGCATGTTATGCCTCATCCTCTGATGGTGGTGGGAATGGGCTTGTGCATCTTCAAAACCTTGTGAGGTGTGTTATCAGGTGGCGCGACACCACCGAGTGGAGTCAGCAATGTCGAAAAGCCTATGATGTCTCCAGCACTTCCCAAGCCTGTGGAGCTACATGGTCCAGTGCGGCGGTTCGACTATAAAGAAATTAAGAAGCTGACAGCTGGATTTAGTGATCCAATCGGCCGAGGCTCTTTTGGGTACGTGTATAGGGGTCAACTCCCAGAAAGCTCAAGTGAAGTTGCAGTGAAAGTTCGATCAGATGTGATCGGCGAGTTCTCAGCTGAGTTCCAAAAGGTCGGTTGGTATTTCCCAAGAAGCGCACTTTTCATGTGATTCTCAGTATGTCGTTTCTCTCGCCATCCATCATACTTTTTTATTTATTTTTAATTAAAAATACACCATATTCTTCTCTCAAAATCTCTTCTTTTTGTTTAATAAAAAATTGGACCGTTTCTCGATTTATGCATGTCAAATTCTTTTTTGCCTTTGGCTACCTACCTACCACTACTCCTAAGGCTATATAGAGTGGACCCCTGCCACATAGCTACTTCACAATGAACACAAAGCCAGAGAACGAATTATGGATGTTGGGGTGGGGGGCAACATCCATCATTATTTTTTTGGCTTTGTTCATTATTACAACCTTTAGCAGATGGTTTGAAATTAATGATAAAAGAGCCTATTCTACCAAGTAGTGCTAATTTATTCATCTTTATAATGGCTCCAGTCATTACATTTATGTTGAGTTTAGTTGCTTGGGCAGTAATACCTTTTGATTATGGTATGTCTATTTTTTCTTAAAAAAAAACAAAGAGGATGATAGTCAATGCTGTCATATTATTTATTCCTCAGGATCATAATCTATTTAAAAGGGGTAAGGAGGCTCATGAGCACTTCGACTCAGTCTGGGTCTCGGCAGCCAGGTACCTTGAAGAGAGAGAAAAAGAGCTAGATGAGAAAGGAACGAAACTAATCCGTAGCTTCGGGCCCAAGCTCTACACTGATTATCCGAAGCCTCCGGTACCCTTTACTCTTACAGACGGCTCATGTTGGGGCAATCTGGTGGACCTGGCAAAGAGATACATTCCACCTGCAGCGATCAATTACGAGTCAGTCAAACAATTGCATGCAGGGGCCTACTGGGCCTAACCTTTCGTTTTCCCAAAAGGAAAACAGACCATGCTGTCGGGTCTAGCTCCTATTCAAGGGATAGTCGGTCCTTGTTTTTTTTTTTTTTTTAAGTTTGCCTCACCGCTTTTTTGTTTTTGTCCCCCTCCTCGCCACTTTATTCTTGTTTTCTTTTGTTCACAGGAAGTGGAAGTGCTCTCAGGCGTTCGTCACAAGAACCTGGTGAAATTGATCGGGTATTGCACAGAGAAGGTCCAGGCAATTCTCCTGGAGTACCTTCCCAATGGATCACTTTACGAATACCTGCATGGTAAGCAACGCAACTTCTGCACAGAGTCACAGTACAGATTTGAGAGTTGTTTCCTTGTTTTTGGGCAGATTTCCAAGCTAAAGCTACGGTGTTCACCCGAGTACAACGCAACGTACAGTCATTATAGCTGTATTTGGGACAACATTGAGTCTAGATAGAGCAATAAATGACCGTACGTACATTGTATTTGGATGAACACAGTAGCCCTCGGATAATCTTTTGTCAGGGCATAGGGTCGCACTCCACTACTCTCGAAATGTTTTTAGAGAAGTTCAAGGGTTGTCAGACTCTGGTAATTCTCAAAATTCCCTGCCTCGCTCTACTTGCTCTAGAACCACGAGACTCGGGGAATTCTGGAAATTCCCTCCCTCGCTCCACTTGCTCTAGAGCCACGAGACTGGGGGAATTCTGGAAATTCCCCGCCTCGTTTCACTTGCTCTCGAACCACGTACTCTCGAATTTGGAGGCTTCTACCCGACACCTAAGCGCCTCCTTTGTCCACGTCTACTGGAGGTGGACTCGTGATAAAAGAGAGGCCACAGCGGTGGGGTTAGGGCCACCACAGAAAATTGGCGAGTTGCAGGCTGTGCACTCTCGAGGGATGGACAGTTTCCTTCACGATTGCGGTCTGACAACACTCTCGAAGACGCTTTTCGGGAGTATCCTCGAAGAGTAAGTGCTTACATTTAAGCGACTCGGGCTCCAGCGAGCGATGCCTTTATGAACGGTATGTCTCCCTGTAATGGCCTAATCGGCCTGGTTCGACTGCGCAACATTCTTTATGTATCTGGAGCTGGTAATGTTTGCCATACATTCAAAGTGTTCGATCAGTCTGAATGAATCTGGACGCAAAAATTCTGGATGTGTCAAATGTTAAGTAGTGGAGCGGGGCCCAATATCCTTGCGTCCATGATCATGTTCGATGCTCTTGGCCATTGTGGATGACGTACTAAGTGCAGATCCTTGCTGTCTGTTGATTCTCATGTTCGTCTATGTGCGCGCCACCTGGCATTTCAGGGAAACGTAAAGGTCAGCACCTATCATGGAGCAAACGTCTGCAAATCGCTCAGGGTGCAGCTTATGGGGTAAGTGGCTGAATGGAGTTGATGAAGTGCCAGCTCCGATTTGCCTGCAACATGTCATGCAAGCAGCATTTAGCGAAACCAGTCTCTGACATTCCCAGACCATCGAAAACAGATCCTGGCTCCTTCATCACTGTATTGTCACCGAAGAAAGGGTGTTACATGCTGAAAGCCTACACACGGGCCCCTCACGGGACCCGAGGTTGGAATAGGGGCCCCAGGTCGCGTCACCGCAACCTGAAGGCCCTATGGCATTTTTACTTGGGCCTGCGTCAGAAAAACGCCAGCTTTAGATTATTTTTATAGTCTTTATTTTATTTCTTTGCTGCTGTTTTTCTAACGTGTGAGCTGTTGTCCGTTTTGTGGCCAGGTACACGTTTTAGGGCCAGGGCCAGATTCAGGCCCAGAGGCTGAGCCTCTAAAAACGTTTGGACCTTTTTCTTTTGTTTTCGAACAGATTTGAACCTGTTTGGACCCAGGCCGACGTTGAGGCCGGGTACGTCCGCACAGGACCGGTTTGAAGCCAGGTACCAGGAAACTGAATCTTGGACAGGGCCTGGACGTCCGGTAGGGACACAGGCAGGCCGTTTTAGGCCAAGGACTGAACCAGTTTTCGAAGCCTGCGATCTGGACCGTGGATCGGAGTTTCGATCTGCTCGGTCCAGAACGCAGGCCGTGGGCTTTCAGTCCTGGCCCAGCGCTACTTAAGCTGGGCCATTGCCCAGTTCGGGGACAGAAGGTACCAGGAGAAATCCAGCGTTATGCTGGTTCAGGAACTTCGCTGCTGCGCTATTTTGGAGACTCCCTGCTGCGCTATTTCGAGACTGCAGCTGCGCTGCTCATCGGCAATGAGGCACAGCGCTGGAGGAGTCCAGCGCCGAGGAGAGTAGTGGAGTTAGAGAGAGAGAGAGAGAGAGAGAGAGAGAGA